ATTTCATTCTGCAGGATGTAAATCATTAAACTCATTTTATAGAAGATGTAAATCAAGCCCAGAGGAATTAAATCACTCACCCAACAACATGTAGCTAATAAGTGGCAGGTCCAACATTGAAACCTGGTCCTTGAGCCCACATGTTTAACACATCACTCACTGCACTGCCTCTCCTATCATGGTGTGGAAGAGCAGACATCAGCATGATAAGTGCAAATACAGAAGATTAAAAGAAAAGGCAAAACCAATGCAGCATCCGAGAAAAGGATTTGAACAGAACCTGGACTGACTGTAAAGTTGTTACTCCTGATGAATCAGTAGCTGACAAAGCACACCTGTAGTATGATGTGTATATATTATTGTTAGTTTTGTGTACATAGATTGCTACTAATATGTACAATAACATGGAAATGCAGTCTGTGGATGGTGTAAATGGTTAATGTGCTCAGCTGCTAACCAAAAGATTAGAGATGCAAGTACACCCAGAGGTGCCTCAGGATGAAAGTCTGACAATTTAATTCTGAAAGATTAACCATTGCAAACCCTATGGAGCATAGTTCTACTCTGACACATGTAGTGTCTCCATGAGTTGGGATCTACCCGATGGCATCTTATACTGGTAAAATATTGCCTACTATTCACCAGACATTTTACATATGTTTCTTCTAATCCTTAGATGAAATAAGATTACTTAGCCTTGCACATAATGACTATTATATACATACAATAATATATTTCAGCCTAAGTCCTGAAATGCACCCTTGTAAAGTTACAAAGATCTCAGAGCTCATAGAACGTGGACTGCGGGTTTGCCAAATGTGAGTGCTTTCTCTACCTGAAATTCCTGTCTTTGAACAAACACATACATTTTGCAAACAGTACTGTGTGCTGACTCTGATCCAGGAATTTTGAAAGGCTTTGGGATTTTATGCTAGTGCTTAGCAAAGTTGTTTATAGTTTGCTTCATAAAATGCATTGAGTTCTTCTTAACTAAGGCTTTTGTTTTTCAATATTTGAGTAAGGAATCTCTTTTAGAGATAGTTTGAAGAGAGCTATATACCATCCTAGAACTCAAATCCATAGACCAGGTCAGCAATGCCACTCACTGGAGAGTACATGAGCATGGCTATTCCTGTTATTGTGTTCTTTATGAGACAAAATCTAGGGTGGCCACAATAGTACAAAACCAATGAAGTGACCAAATGGATGGGAATCTTACTTGATCAACATTAAAGAACTTGTTTATGCTATAATAAATCTCTATATCTTAAAGAAGTGCCATAAGTTTATATAAAAAGACATTCATAAGTTTTTGTTTCAATGTGAGCCCTAGTTACAGGGGTTGTAATGAGTCGGGGGCCAACTCCACGTCAGCTAACAGCAATGATTTTATTTTAAAGTAAAGATCCATTTTTTAAAAATACACAAAACTTATTTAATTTTTTTTTAACTTCTTATTATATATCACACTTCCATTGAACAAGTTTTGAACAGTGCTTACACATGAGAGAAGGAGAAAGAGACAGAAAGAAAGAATCAGATTCACTTGTGATCCAACTATCCAGAGAAAACCAATGGTACGGTATTGTACTCTATTATTCCATTTTTTAATCCTTTTTTTAAATGTTTTATTCTTTATGCCTTTTTTTGTGAGAGTGGGGTGGGAAAATACAAAAATATTATTCTGCATGTATTGTTTTATTACCTCCTCTGTTTTCTACCTAGTAATATGAGCATAATTTCTTATCATTAAATATTCTTCCACAAAATTCTTTTGGATGGCTGAATATTACTCTATTTGATGAATGTGGCATATTATTTCATAAATTTGGTACTGTAGGTTATTTGGTTTGGTAATCTTACCTTTTGAATGGTGGATTTTAACCTTGACTACACTGGAATCACTTGTAAAGCTTTAGAAAATACTGATGCCTGAACTCCAACTCCAGAGATTCTGAGTTAATTAGTCTGGGGTGCAAGATAGGAATTGGGGATTTTAAAAGTTCCCCAGTGATTCTAATGTATAGCCAATGTTGGGAACCCTAAATGATAGGGAAGATAGGAAGTGGAGCACTCCTACAATCAGATGGAGTTTCTAAGTGCTCTTTATTTAGTATCAACATAATCATCTTGAGTTGCTGAATGGACAATGTAGCTGAACCACTTCACATTTTTGACATGCATGCAATATTGTTGTTGTTATGTGCTGTCAAGTCGGACCCAATTCATAGCGACCCCTCCTGGGGTTTCCAAGGCAGTATCACTATGGAAGTAGATTGCCCCATCTTCCTTCTGAGGAGTGGCTGGTGGGTTTGAACCTCCAAACTTCTGGTTAGCAATCAAGTGCCTTGGGCACTACACTACCAGAGCTCCTGCATGCAATATTTTGTCACTACAAATAATTGGTTCACCAGGATTTGTGCTGTAACTTTCTAATATTAATTCATACACAGTATGTGAAATACTTATAAATGTACCCTATTGATATATAGTCAAGTGAAAAGGATTTTTGAGGTAAACAACAACATAAAGAATCATGCAATGCACTGTTTAACAAAGAGTCTGAGATAATAAATGATGTGTCTAATGTTCAATTAATATTTCCTTAATGAACTAATGCATTTACTGTGTATTCTTACCAAGACTGGTGTCTTTTTTGTTAACTAACCTGAATCACTGCCATCAGGTTGTTTCTGACTCATAGTGACCCTATAGGACAGAGTAGAACTGCCCCATAGGATTTCCAAGGCTGCAAATCTTTACAAAAGCAGACTGCCACATTTTTCTTCTATGGGACAGCTGGTGGGTTCAAAACTCCAACTTTTCAGTTAGCAGCCAAGAATTTTAACCACTACGCAGCCTGGGCTCCTAATCTTTTCATTATGACTTTACTAATGTTTCATTCAAGAGGAATTGATTATCCTATAATTTTTTTGGAAAATCTTTTTGAATACTCCGTGATCTGAGAAAACTGTTATATTTAAAATGGAATGATTCTGCAAAGTTTTTTTTCCATTCAAAGAGGTCTCTGTCCTTGAACATAAAATACAAATAGCCCCTTTGCTGTTAATTATTGGCAAATTGCCTTACTTGCAACCTAAGGAAATAAAGTTGCAGGTATAACAACAAAAGTTACTCATTAACATATATTGGTTGAGAAAGGTATAAAAGAATTTCAATGTGATTTTCCCACATTCTGCTCCCACCATCACTAACACAAGAAACTTAGTAGTGACCATGAAGTGGGTGGTAGCAATTTTTCTAATTTCCCTGCTAAATTTTATTGAATCCAGAACACTGCATAAAAATGCATACGGAATAGGTAAGTTATTGTGTGTATTTCTTGCTTTTTCTCTAAAATTCTTAAAAGTTCTTAATTTTGTATTTATTCCTTTATATCTTGATTTATGTATCATATTTATTTTTTCTACACAGGAGAAATATATTTAATTACTGGGCATATTTTAATGAAAAATTAAATTTGTAACTTTAACATCTATATGAATGGTTGGCATAGTCCACGTTGAATTAATTTTATATACTGTATTTTTAAAATTGGTATACATATTAAGTTTGGAAAAATGTACAAATGTATGTCAGGCCATAATCCTGGCTCCAACATGTATAAAACTCCTTCACATTGATAAAATAAGTAATATCCTTATACTTTACATCAGAAAAAATAGATCATTATTTGAATGTCTGAACAAGAAGCCCTGTGACAGCAAATTGTGATACAGTCATGTTGAAAAGGATGACTTAATATACTTTTGACCATCTGACTTTCAAGCTAATTAGACTATCACACTGTGAGGGAAACCAAACAACCAGGGACATAAAGTATGGATTTTAGTCTTAGGTCTCCTGGAAATTATTCTTGTTAATTTTGTTTCCTTAAGTACAAAATTATGATGTTTTCATAGACAATCACTAATGTCTTCTGAGTTCTAAAACTGTGTAGTTCTAACTTAAATATCAACATTTACATGTAGTTGAAAGCATAATTTTTCATGAAGTGTTATGTTGTTTTCCAGCTTCTGTACTGAATTCTTCCCAATGTTCTTCAGAGATGAATTTAATTGACCTGTAAGTTTTGTTCATATAAATGCAATTTAGATATGGTAAGCAATGATAATTTTAGTTAGATAATCAAATAACAAGACTGAATAGTCCTATAAGCTTTCAAAAGCAAATTGGACAATATCAAAAGAATTATTTACAAGAGATATAAATTGATTTTGAAGAGGTTAAACTGTTGGCCAATGCATTAGATACTAACTTCTGGATTTCTTGAAATTCCATGGGTTTAAATGAGGAATAAATGTATGAGACCAAATCTGAGGAACAGAAAATAGTTCTGAATGGTGGATACCATGGATGAATAGATATTCAGGATTTTTTTTTCCATCAAAGCCAATAGGATGATATGACTATATTCTCTACTCTGTAGACTTTAAATTCTAAAAGCAAATTGTTCTATTTGCTTCTAGAAGAGAAGTATTCTGTTTTCTGTGTTGAGTATGAAGTTCTGTTGAATGCTGTACTTTCATTCCACATTTCTAAAGTTTCTAGTAAGAAATTTAAAGTAGTGTGTTGTTGCTACTGTTCTGTGTAGCATGTTCTGTTCACAAAGTAAAGAGAAAACAAAAAGCAAATTAGCAAAACTATACTTGAGGCAAACAAGCTCTATTAAATCTGAACCTTAAGGATCTGCATGTATTTTTGTTTCAGAGCCACCATATTTTTTGCCCAGTTTGTTCAAGAGGCCTCTTATCAGGAAGTAAGCAAAATGACAAAAGATGTATTGACTGCAATTGAGAAACCCACTGGAAGTGAGCAACATGCTGGGTGCTTAGAAAACAGGGTGAGTGAATAATAAGACAAAGTACTGTGATGCTTGACTAAAATATACCCTGCAGAAGAGAAGATAAAAGAATGGCAAGAGAGACACATTTAAATATTTATGAGCTGTTGTAGAAGGACTAGAGTAATTCTGAATTGCTGAAGAGGGCAGAAAACAATGGATAGCTATTATACAGAGGCAATATGCATGGTGACTAGAATCTAAAGTTTGGAAATAAGATTATTTTGGTGATCTTGTGCACATGACTTGAACTTCAGTTTCTTTATCTATCAAATAAGGGATGATGGTTTTCATTTCAGGGTTGTCATGGAGATTATATAATATAGCAGCTAATTTTCATTATGGGCTCAAACATATCAAAGATCATGAAAATGGCACAGAGCAGGGCCATGTTTTGATCTGTTATACATAAACTTGCCATGAGTTGGAGCCAAATCGATGACAACTAACACAACAATTTTATTAAGCATAGACAATATGATAGTCACTATTCTATGGACTGATATTCCAAGTAATACATGACACAAGGCATGAAATTGACAAATTAGAATGAATGTCCAGTAAGTAAGAAGAGACTCTGGCTGGGGCTTAGTGGCAGGATATAAGCTCTGCATACAAAAGTTAATTTATTAAATCTTCATGATAATCCTAGGAGATAAATGTTAATCTTCCAGTTGAGGAAACTGAAGGACAGAGAAGCTAAGTGACTTTCTTAATGGAACAGCAAATGGCAGAACCAGGATTAAGCCAGGCAATATGATTCCAGAACCAATTCTTAGAGAGCTTCATTACACTATACAATATACTACACTATAGTAAATGTGAGGTGCACAGCATACAGTTAGGGTTGCTAGATTTAGCAAACAAAAACAGCTAAGGTACAGTACCCAGTTAAATCTGAATTTCAGATAAACAACAAATATATTTTAGTGTGAGATGTCCAGTATAGAAATGCAACAAAACAGTTATCATTTTCTTATCTTATATATAGAAAAAAGGAGCTCTGATAGCGTAGTGCCTAAGGCACTTGATTGCTAACCAGAAGGCTGGCAGTTCAAACCTATCAGCCACTCCTGGGAAAGAAGGTTGGTTAATCCACTTTTGTAGTGATACTGCCTTGGAAACCCAAGGAAGGGTCGCTATGAGTTGGGGCCAACTGGATGGCACATAACAACAACAGCAACAACAATACAGAAAAAAACAAACTCACTGTCCTCCAGTCAGTTCTGACTCATAGCGACCCCTCCTTGGATTTCTGAGGTGGTATCTCTACAGAAGTAGATTGCCCAACCTTCCTTCTGAGGAGTGGCTGGTGCATTTGAACCACCAGCCTTCTGGTTAGCAGCCAAATGCCTTAGGCACTAAGCCACCAGAGCTCCTTAATACAGAAAAGAACTTTAAAATAATTTCTGTTATTTGATGCTCTAGGAAATTAGGAGTCATAGTCACCTCTGAGTCATAGCAAACCCATGTGACAGAGTAGAACCTCTCTGCATGGTTTTGTAGGCTGTAATTTTAACAGGAGCAGATCACTAGGTCTTTCTCCTGTGGAGCCACTAGGTGTGTTCAAACTGCTAAACTTTAGATGCGTAGAGAAGCACATCTATGTAATTATTACAGAGCTATCCAATTATGCAATATAATACATGACCTTTTCCTTTTAAGGTAAAATAATTTTATCAAATAGTCATGTGTATTACTCAAGGTTGAAAACTAGAATCTCACTTCTCAAAAGGCATCAAAGAAAATTATCTCATCAGGTTGAAAACATATTGGAATTTGTATGGGGAATTATCTTTCACAATCTATAAATTTTGGATAATAGAAAAATTTTCATATGCTTTATAGAATTTTATGTAAAGTTAATTGTCTGTCATTAAAAATATATTATTTTTTCTGTAGCTCTCTGCTTTTCTGGAAGAAATTTGCCATCAGAAAGAAATATCTGAAAAGTATGGACTTTCAGAGTGCTGCAACAAGAGTGAGAAGGAAATGCATAACTGTTTACTAGCACACAAACAGGCCACTCCAGCATCCGTTCCACCCTTCCAAGTTCCAGAACCTGTCACAGGTTGTAAAGCATATGAAGAAAACCGGGAGACATTCCTGAACCGGTAAGTATTCAATTTAAAGACAGGAACACCCCATCAAGGGAGCAGAACCTAACAGAATCCAGTGTTTCCACAGTTTCTCAATGCACGATAAAGCACCCGGACATAGAAACAAATGCTTGGGGTTGCATCTGCTGAGGTAGTGCTCTAGGAAATTAGGAAATCAATTTTAAGTCTAGTTGTTTCCACTGCATGCATAGACCACATACGAGATCTGTCACCTGTTCTTAGTCTCTTGATATACATCTCGCTCTTCTCTTCCCTGCTCATCTCTCAGTTTTAGGAACTCTGGTGGCACAATGGTTAAAGCATTTGGATGCTAATCAAAAGGCAGTGGTCCAAACCCACCAGCTGCTTCATGGGACAAAGATGGGATAGTCTGCTTCCATAAAGATATACAAGCCTGGGAATCCCATGAGGCAGTTCTACTCTGTCATAAAGGTTGCTATAGTCGGAATTGGCTTGATGGCAGTGGGTTTGGTTTTGGGTAATTTCTCCGTTTTAGCTTGCTCCAAAATACATTAGTATTGCACCAAATGATTCCTTACCAACCCAAATAGTATTTGTTCAGTAAATTGCCTTGAAATAAAGTAATAATAATAATGTAAGAGATTCAGAAATGTTTAAGATGCATAGACATGACTAACATTGAGCACTTAAGATGTTATAGGATGAATGTGTGCTTGGTACGTATGATCATTTGACAATGTTCACAGACAAACTTTGATGTCTCCTTTTCCTATTCCTTCTTTGCTTTTCTCCCCACATTGCAGGTGAGGAAATTGAGGCTTAGTAGTTTTAAACAACTGCTGAGCTCCCACGGCTAGTATGTTGCCAAGTTGGGATTTGAATCCAGGTTCTCTGTCTGTGAAGATTCTAACCCTTAACTTTTATCTTCCATGTTGCTGCATAAATTAGCAAATAGAGAGCCTTCATTTAGACCATCTCTGCTAGGGAGACTGTCAAGGATAATTCCATTCTGCACTGATGAGGAAAAATGAATCCACTTTTTGCTTCACTTGGCAGATTTTTCATGAGGATCTTTAGTTAGGGAAATTGTTGATGGCACATGGAAAAAATAGAACTGTTTTTCCCTTAGGAATACAGTAAAGAAAAATTAAATGCATTTTTTAAAAAATCTGACTCTTTAAATAAGTTCCTGAGTGTAGTACTAAGTAGTAGTAGTCCCATTTTTCTGTTTGTAAATCTTGTAGCTCTGTTTCATTTCAGATACATCTATGAGATAGCAAGAAGACACCCTTTCCTGTATGCACCCACCATTCTTTTTTTGGCTTCTCACTATGACAAAATAATTCCACTCTGCTGCAAAGCTGAAAATGCTGTTGAATGCTTCCAAACAAAGGTATATTTGTGTGGATATTTCCTAG